GTGGGGATTCTACCTTATCTCCATCATTCTGCGACTGAGAATACTCATGAAAGTTTATAAGCCAGCCACTGCAACTAAGAATAGTCATGAAAGTTTGTAAGTCAGTCACTTCATGCCTTTATAGTTCCCAGTGTCTAAATTGCTGATCCTAAAGCCATTTGAACTGCAGGGTCGGCAGTTCAAGCTCACCAGCTGCTCCTCGGAAACCCTGTACTGGGTTGCTGTGGGTCGGGACTGACTCGACGGCACTTAAAAACAACAAATCTGCTAACAAGATGGATTGGCCAAGTGGCAGCATCGATGGACTCTAGTGTGGCAACAGTAGTGAGGTTGGCCCAGGATTGGGCAGTGTTTCGTTTTGCTGTGCAGAGGTCGCTATGAGTCGGTACCGACTCAATGGCACCAACCAACATCTGCTAACTGAAAGGTCAGCAGTTCAAATCAGTCAATCCATGGGAGGAAAATAAGACTTTCTGCTCCCATAAAGATTTACAGCCTTGGAAACCCTATACACGAGTTGAAACCAACTTGGTGGCATACAACGGCCACCTCCACCATCAACCCAGTACACTGAAGAATCCTTCCAGTTGGAATTTTGCATCCATAATTAAAGGTCCTGTTCATCAAATTGTATCAATTTATACTTGCTCACAGTATCAAACATCTTTATCTTCATCTGTTTGGGTTCTGATCAGCTAGTCATCCAAGCTAAGATATGGGTTGTTGTTATGTGCCATGGAGTCGGTTTGGACTCATAGCGACCCTGTACAGGGTTTTCAAGGCTGTAAATCTTTACAGGAGCAGAAAGCCTCATCTTTCTCCTTCAGAACAGCTGAAAGTTTTGAACTGCTGACCATGAGATTAGCAGCCCAATTCGTAACCACTACGCTACCAGAGCACTAGCTACATATTTGGGAGTTCATGCACACCTCCATGCACTTCAGACCAGCTGGCTGCTTCATTCTCAGCCCTAGCCCCCAGGGGTTAGATCAGTGCCCATTGGCTCAGTTAACACAGATTCCTAAACCTCAGACCAGCCAGCCCTTCCTCCTCTTTCTCATCTTGAGGTTAACAGGTGATAATGGAACATGGGCAACCTCAGTCCACATCTTCATTGCTGCATTTTCCTAACTTACACTCACAAGTAGATCCAGGTAGTCACCAGCGAGCATACTAGACTACTCACAGGTTCCCTTTAAGTTTCAGTCATAAACTAGAAAGGGTTTTTTTCCTCATGGGCTGGCTTTTCTTGCCTTGGAACCTCCAAAGCAAACAGCTTGCTTGAATTTCAAATAGCCAAACAATCCGTTTGTTTCTGCAGGTCTTTCCATAAGAATCACCTATTCTCCTGAACCTGAAGGACATTATACTGAAATTAGTCAATCACAGTAGGACAAATATTGTATGATGCCTATGTTGTAAAAGTTAAAGGTTTTCTTGAAAAAAAAAAATCTGTGATGGTTACAGGTTGCAAGGGGAGGGAAAATTACTTACAGGCCAGAAGGTAGGTACTAACAGGGGTGACAGGATAGGCAATATAAAAGAGGAAAGTTAGAGGAAATATGACGGTAGAGAAATAGATTCATGCAATAGCTGAAGTCAACAGAAGTAAATACTGTTAAATGTTGGTAATGGAAGGGATTGCAACCATGTAATGAAGTACATGATTTATTGAATGTAAAACTGATGATCTGTTCTGTAAATTCACAATAAAAAGTTAGAAAAAAATTAACAATATGAGAAAGGGTCAATAAAGCATAGGTAAACACCTTTCTGATACTTTTAGTCAATATCCATCTTAACGATAGAAATGATAGCATTTATTTCACATCCTTGGCAGAATCCGGCTTGAACCTCTCTTGTTAATGTACTGCTTAGCCATTTTTAAATTTAGCAAAATTTTACTAGCATGTGATTATTAATGATATGGTCTTAAATTTTTTTGCATTTCATTAGATTCTCTTTTAGGAATGGGCACAACTATGGATCTCTTCCTATTTTGTAGGCCAGGTAGGTGTTTTTCAAATTTCTTAGCATAGATGAGTGAGTACTCCAGTACTACATCAATTTGTTCAAAGATTTTAATTTGTATTCCATCAATTCCTGGAACCTTGTTCTTAGCCAATACATTCAGTGCACCTTGGAATTCTTCCTTAAGTACCAATGGCTCTGTATCTTATGCTACTTGTTGAAATGGGTGAACATCAATTGTTTGACCAGTTTCAGAATGAAGAAGTTAGTATAATTCTTCAATTTAATCACTGGCGTTAGTAGTTGGTGTGAAACTTGAATCGTGGTACTGACTGGTTTTCATTGTAGTTGTACGGATATTATCCTATTACAGGCAGCATTATACTTCAAGATACATCTTGAAATTTATTTTTTTTTTTTCTTGTTAGTGTACAAGAAGACTTTGTATGAGGGTAGGTCAAAAGGTTTAGCTATTAGGGTTCCCCTCATATATGTACACTTATTTCAAACAAAATGTGCTTAAACATATCCATGATCAGTGGATGACTGCAGACAAGTTCTCTCGGTCTCACTGTTGTGTGCTGTTATCAGCTCTGACTCCGCACAGCAGAACAAAATACTGCCCAGTCTTGAAATTTTCTTGTTGATAATGAATGAGATGCCATTCCTTTTCATTATCATTACTGGAATAGAGTAAAATTGAGAAATATGTTTTTGAGGGTAAGTCTAAAAGTACTGCTATAAAATCAACTTTTTTTTTTTAATTTTGTATTGTGAATTGGGTGATAGTTTACATGAGATATAAACCTTTATTGCACAAAAACAGCAAACTGAAGCTATTTGATACACTAGAAGTGTATGTATATCCTTCAGCTAGGTAGGTATACTCTTCTAAGAAAAGCGGTATTTCTGTTCTGTTGTGGTGCTGTAAGATCAGCACTGGATTGCTAATCATGAGGTTGGTTGTTCAAACCCTATACAGGGTCACTATAAGTAAGAACCGACTCAATGGCAACCCTTCCCTGAAGAATTCTATGCTCTCTGATTTACGCCACATCAAATTGGCAGTTTTGGCATTCTCCAGGGACTAAAATCTTGTTCTTTTTCAATGTTCTTTGAGTTTGAGAAACAAAACAAATCAGGGTTATAGGGTCGATGGAGCAAGGCTTCCCAATGAAATTCTCATAGGCTAGCCCTTGCTACCTTCAGAGAATGAGCAAGTGCATTGTTGTGATGGAAAAAGTTTTTTAGCTATACTTTCCTGGCTGTTTCCTCACCAGAGTAGTTTCCAATTTTCATAAAACTTCTTAGTAAGTCTCTATTCTTTGAGAAAACCTAACAAGATTAACCCTCTGGAGTCCCTAAACACAGTTGCCATAACCTTAACTGAATTCTTTGCCTTGAATGTAACTGGTTAAAAAGATCCCCTCAGAAGCCAGTTTTGATTGGATGCTATGTTTGGAGGCACCCTCTGTCCATCTCCTAAGCCTGCTGAACACCATCCCAAACTGGGCACTCTACCCTACCACCACCATCCTGCCCAGCTTTCTTTTCTCTTTTCTTTTTCTTTCTTTCTTCTTTTCCATGTGATGAAAACTGCACAGCACTAGAAATCAAGAGACCTACACATGATGCAGATACTAACATCAGTCTTCATGAGTCTTCGGTACCTCAGCTTCTCTAAGTAATCCTATAGAAACACATTATCAACAGAGACAATTTAAATAGCCCAGTTAAATGAAGGAATATTAATTCAGTGGAAAGGAAAACTCTTAGAGAAAACATTTTCATTAAAACTTTCTGATTCTCCACTTAATATAAAAACTGGCTGTAGAACCCAGAATGACTTACAAAAAGGAATATCTACTAAGTGTGGTGCCCTAGGATACGCACTAGACTGCCAACGACAAGGCCGGCAGTTCAAACGGACCAGCTGCTCCTATACAAGGTTGCTATGTCAGAACTGACTCAATGATACTCAACAACAAAGTTGGGTAAGGAGCCCAAGTAGCATAGTGGTTATTCATTTCACTGTTAACCTCAAGGTCTGTAGTTCAAACCCATCAGCCACTCTATGGGAGAAAGACAAGGCTTTCTTTTCCCCTAACGATTTATAGCCTTGGGAATCCTACATGGGGTTACTATGAATTAGAACCAAGTCAATGACACACAAAAGCACAGAGTAGGGGCACCCCAATTTTACATGCCATTTTCAGATGAGACTGCCCAAAAAGAGACACAGCTAAATGGTAGAAAAATAAGATTATGTGTAAATAGTGACCTGTAGAGAGACCCTATATAGGGTTTCCGAGGCTGTAAGTTTTTATAGGTGTAGAAAGCCTCATTTTCCTCCCGTGGAGTAGCTAGTGTTTATCCTACAGTGCCACCTAAGTTTTTTTCTCTTTTACATTAAATTTCTTAAGACAGGAAATTAGTTATTTCCAAGTTATGCCCAATATAATCACAAGGATCTTTATAAGTGAAAAAATGGGAGCAGGAGAGTGAAGGGGTCAAAGTCAGATTTAAATATGCCATGCCCTCAGCTAAACTGTTGGACAAGGTCATGAGTCAAGAAATGCTGAAGCTGAAAAAAGCAAGGAATTGGATTCTTCCCTAGAATGTCTAGAAGAAACCAGTCCTGTCCGACACCTTCATCTTAATTGTGACTGATTTTGGATGTCCAACCTCAGAACTACAATACTTTTGTGGTGTTGTAGGTTACCAAGATTGTGGTAATTTGTTATAGCAGCCACAGAAAATTAAGAGTCTGAAGTGTTTGTTTTGTTTTTTAAAAAGATACATTTTAGACAAAACTTCTTAAGCATTTATTATACAAAATCTATACTTGTTGTATATGAAATGTATAGCAAAAAAGACCTTTTGTTAATCCTTGTTTCTTTAAGGTTTTCTATGGAAAGTAAATAATTACTTCCTAAGATCCTCAGATAGTACAAATTTTTGTATAGAATATTTAATAGTTGTATTACTGATAAATATCTTGAGACATGTGGTATAAAACTGAAACTGGATCAGAAAAGTGCAGGGGGAAGACCACTGCCAAAGAGTAATTTCCAAGAACTTGGTATTTTCCATGGTAAAACAGAAGCTCTGGGGTCATCGATCTGTAATTAAGAAGAAAATATTTTAATCTTTGATTTTACCATAAAATTTCCCTTTAACACAGAAGCATTATAAAACTCTTCTCTAGTTGTTGTTGGTTTTTTTGTTTTTTTCTAGTTGTTTTATTCCTTGTGGTTCTAGCACTTTTAGCCAGGCTTTATTAGTAAAGAAAAACACATTAATAAGTTTCTTATCTCCATGACAAAGATACATTTCTTAAATTCCAAATCATAAAGGTATGCCAGCCAGAAGGGCTACTAATTAAAATAAAAAAGGAGTTGTTGTTATGTGCCATGGAGTCAGTTCCGACTCAGCGACCCTGAACAGGGTTTCTGAGGCTGTAAATCTTTACGGGAGCAGAAAGCCTCATCTTTCTCCCATGGAACAGCTGGTAGTTTCGAACTGCTGACTTTGCAGATCGCAACCCGATTCATAACCACTACTCTACCAAAGAGTAGAAGTTAAAAAAATAAAATAAAAAATTACTGTTGTGTGGAATCCTCATGTGGTGCTTATATGATGAGTACTCAGCTATAAGGTTATTTTGAACCGAAAGGTTGGTGGTTCAAATTTGCCAGTCACTCACTTCTCAAAAATCCTGTACAGGTTGCTATGAGTTAGAACCAACTCAAAGACACTTAACAACAACAACAAATAGGATTGTGTGGTTTACATCAGTTTATTATCTGCAAAAGCACATACTCATAAAACAACTACCTACCACACACAGCAGCCTTGTTATGCTTGTTATGCTTAAAGGCAAACTGATTTCCTGGGTCTTGATCATAGGAAAGTCTTGATCATAATATATATTCAATAATGACAACATGGCTTACAAACAGTATTTTCTGTATATATATATATTTTTAACAACACATTAAAATACTCCCTAAACCAAAAACAAATGTTAACTCCAAAGAGAACTTGCTTATAAGAATTGTCAGATATAATTAAATGGACTATGAACAATGAAGAACTTCAGCGTTTCCTTATTGGGAAGTATGTGCTGGACTACAAGGTTCGGTGGTTCAAGCTCACTAGCTGCTCCTCATAAACTTTATACAGGTTCATTATGAGTCAGAAATGACTCAGTGATACTTAAAAACAACTACCAGCTTTAATGAAACGAGACTGGCCACCTATCCTTTCTTTTCAAAAGTTCAGCTTAAACTAAATTTTATATAACATGTCTATTCAACATCAACTTCATTTATTTGGTCTACTTATAAAGGATAAAATACACAAGCTTGATGAAGATATTATCAGAGGATTAATCAAAACTTACACATGGTTTGATGATCTGAAGCCATTCATTAAGATATTCAACAAGATCCAAAGCATCTGGGATATTATCTCCTTCAGAAACAAATTTCAACAGAACTGCCAATGGAATTTCTCTAGAACAACTACAACAAATAAATAATTAAGTATTCTTTCACTTATATAACAACAACAAGATTCACTGGTTTTGCTTGTTTAGAAAACTCAGACTAAGACATTTGATACTGGAATTGTTCTAAAGAAACAAAATAGTAAGGATGGGTTTTCTAAATTGGTTCTCAAGCCTGAGTAGTTTTAACGGCACTGAAATGCTGCTTTCATTAGCAAAGAAGGTGCTGCTAACATAATGGTATGAGGAGGAAATGTTAATATGAAAAATATCACTACCTGTAGATCAAGTTATTGGTGACAACTGAGACTAGGTGATTGTTTGATTTTTTTCTGCAATTTTGTCAGGATAAGAAGGGAAGCTGGTTGGTTGCTCCTATTGATAACAGACCGAGTGGTAAAGCAGAGACCAGCTCAGGGCTTCAGAATTACAGCTCAAGCAACACATAAAAGACCTCAAAGTTTCCATCTGTGCCCTGAAAGAATGCCTTATTTCTTGTGAGCTGATATTTCCAAATACCAAACCCACAGTCTTACTAAAAGAGTAGTTGAATTATAATACCAACTGAATTCCCAATCTCAAATGATCTCTATTACAGTAAAAGCACTGATTGGGAAAAAATGGGATCCTGAAACATGGGATGGGGATCTATGGGCAGATAATCAGGAAGCTGGGGACACTGGCCCCTAAATCATATTGAATCACTTTTGTCAACAACACCTCTCCTATCTGAAGAGATTACTCCACCTTTGTCTGATGATCCATTATCTGTAAAACCATTATCCGCTCTCTCTGCCCACACTTAAGATTAATTAATCCAACTATGACCGTACTCCAATAAATTTAAAAATCTAGAAGAAACTTCTAGGAAACACACGATCTACCTAAACTAACACAGACTTAAGTAGAAAACCTGAACACACTTGTAACGAAAAAGAAACGGATCAAGCAACCAAGTAAAAAAAGCCCTGGTCCAGATGACTTAACTGATGAACGCTACTGAAGAATAAGAGAGAAAGTGACCCAAACTATTCCAGAATACAGAAAAGGAAGGATAACTCTAGAATTTATTTTATGAAGCTAGTATAACTCTGACATGGGTACCAGGCAAACATATCATTACAAAAAGAAAATGATAGCTGCTTTGAAAGTTTCTCTGGGCAAATTATTGAATGATACAGAAAGCATCAAGAGAAGATGGAAGGAAAACACAGTCACTGTACCAAAAGGAAATGGTTAATGTTCAACCGTTTCAAGAGGTAGCATATGATCAAGAGCCAATGATACT